AATAGAGAATAACTAAACAATCTTGTATCTTATCCCAATCCTACATTAATGAAACATGTACTTTTAATATATTGCAGTTATATTTATTACAGGTATTTATATTCTTTTTGTATAGGTATACATAAAATTATTTTAAAATGTAACATTAACATATCGTCGTATTAAAATTAAAATTTCATTTATCGCATTTTAAATTAAGCATGAATATATATCTTATTTTTATTTTGGATGCATAATTAAATCATTTATTTATTTTATTTAATGTAATAAAACTATTTTATATTAAATATTTTATAATTATAATTGTTTTCTTATAAGAATAATGTATAAAATATTATATTTTGCTTTTCGGTTGTTCAATATATGTTATGTAACATTATATTTTTTAATAATTTACCTCAATACATTTATATTATTTAATCTGCAATCACATATCTGCAATATAATTTTATTTTTTCTCATTTTTGTATTTTTTTCTTATTTTTAATACATAATAAATATTTATCTTCATTATTTTTATTAAATTCAGATTAATTTCATGTAAAAGTGGAGTGAGAGCGGAGAAAGGAAGAGCAATTGAGAAAGAAATTCAGAGAAAGACGTTGGGCGCGTTCAGCAAAACCGCTCAGTAGCATAGCACGTGATTGGCTCTTATACTTTTAGACCCAACGAATCAGCGTAGCGTGTCGATAAGACGACACTCAACAGTTGTGTCTGCTGTACGTGGCCGTTCAGTTGGTATTAGTGGGCGCTTACTTATTTCGCGCATGCGCACTCTATTTTGGACAACACTAACATCAAAGGCGCCGACAGAGAGTTGCGCTACTGTATATACTGTGGTCCAGCCACCTTGATCCTCCTGTATCGTTTATTGTATCTGGCCCCCTCAATTAGTATCTCTTGCTCTTCCATTTGTCGCCTTCTATCTTTACTACTTAGCTCTTCTGCCACACATCTTCCCCGTTCTCTCCATTGATCCAGATCCGCCTCTTGTACTCCACACCTACTTAAGTATTCCTCTCTCTCCGAACTCCCTCTTGTCAATGTTCCTTTTCCCTCTCTTTTCTTAATACATTCCACCACCCATCTTCTCCGACCATATCCTTGTCTTGCCTTTTCTTCAAAGTTCACCGCCAGCTTGGCCGTCCTAATACTTATCTTGTCCCTCTTGGTTTCCTCCAGGACCACATAACCTGGTGTGCATCTCTCCAGGCCCAGTGACCATCTCAGATACTGTGCCTCCACCCCTTCCACGTTACCATGCTCTAACCAACCCCACACTTCTGCCCCATATACCAACACGCTACCTACTAAGCTGTCGAACAACATCATCCTCCTCCCCCAATCGTTCACAAACTTCTTTTCTCCCAAGCTCCATCTTCTTTATCACTGACGTTGCTCTTCTTACCCTCTCCCTAATATGCTTTGTATGACCTCCATTTCTCTGCAATATGAAGCCCAGGTATTCAAACTCCTTCACATCTTGAATCTTCTGGCCTTTCCAGTACCAGTCTTCCTCTCTTTCCACACCCCCTCCTTTTCTGAATTTCAGGATCTTGGATTTTCCCACGTTCAATTCCAGCTTCCTCTTCCTCAAGTACTTCTCCAGCTTCTTAATCATCTCCTCTAGCGCCTCCTCCTCTCTGGCCAGCAGAACGATATCATCCGCGTAGGCCAGTGTTCAAATCCTGCCCTGCCCAATTCTCATGCTTCCTACCAACCCCCCGGCCAACTCCACCTCCAGATCTGATATAAAGATGGAGAACAGCAGCGGGCTCAAAGGGCATCCTTGTCTCACTCCCTTTGTCGTCCAAAAGGAGCTTGACTCCCTGTTTCCCACCCTAACCCTGTTACGGGTTTCCTGGTAAATTTGCTTCACTCTCTCCGTTAGTCCTCTCCTTACCCCTCTCTCGTCCATCACCCTCCATAACACACTCCGGTAAACATCCCGTTTAGGGGACCCACCTCCGATGGCCTTGACCTTCACATATGTTGTCAAGGTCACCTTTCTGAGTGACCTTCAGAAGGTTTTAGTTGGGGGTCGCTTTTTATTAAAAAGTTATTAACAAAAAAAAGTTTGGCGACCTCAATGATTTCAATAACCTTGATATATGTTGTCAAGGTCATGACCCCGAGTGACCTTCAGAAGGTTTTAGCCACGGTCTTACATACAGGTTTGGACACTTGGTCAATTTTCAATGGTGGGGGTAGGTCACAGATAGTCGCCAAAAATTGTTTGTCTCTTGGCCACGAGAGTCGCTGCAGTAGGGTACTAAACAGAGATAGAAATATAGTCGCTCTCTGTTTCTCTTACATAACTGTACATAACCACATAACGTTGCTTGCCTAACAGTTCATTAGTAAAGTATTTTTTGTAGGTGATATAAGACCGTGAGTGATATGCAGCTGAAGAGGAGGAGTTTTAGTTAGAGTTGGTTAATAAAATTTCAGGAAAAAAAAATAAGTCCATTTTATTTGTTGCAAATACTTTATTGATTCGTCAGTTTTGACAATTTTTTTTGTACGACGAATTGCTTTCTCATTTTCAAATTCTGTTGGTGAGCATTCTGTCGCATCCTTAATCGGATATAATAAATTATCGCGTATGAAAACACCTCGGAAGCATGATCTTTACAAGGGAAGGTAAAGCTGTAGGTCTCGAGGACTTCTTCAAGCGTTTGATCGAACACGTTAATCGAAGATGAATATTTTGCAAATATTTCTTCTACGTAGCGGATGAGATGAAAAAAATGTAAATTCGCGTGAATTAAACCGCCTCGGGATTTCAGTTGAACTAATTGACTGACAGAAGAGGTGCAACTGGAGTCCAATTTGATCGCTCCTACACAAGTCGCGCACGATTGATATCGCTTAAGTATCTGTTTACACAAATAACTTGAAAGTGTAATGTTATGCAGTTAGTGTTAGTTAAAGATTTGAAAAAATAGGACCAGAGCTCTTCGTATAGAGCTCTACAGAGCTCTATATGAAGTATCTATAAACAAATATCTATAAACAACAAAGCATGGCAGAAAATTAATAGAAAAATAAGCAGTGTTAGTATGCGTTAAGGATCCAAAGGTTTTAGTGCAAAGCGGAAAAACTTTGTTAAAATTAAAAACCTGTAACATAATAAATTATGTAATCAAGAATAAGGGATAGATCATAATCATGGGCAGTAATAAGATCGTAGTCTTCAATGAGATCGTCGGCCTCCCAATTTTCGTACTCCAAAACTGTGTCAAGTTTCTTCTGAATCTCTCGAAAATACATGGAACTTTTGGCCTCACCTTTTTCACCGAATACGGCTTTTAAATCGCTGATTTTAATCAAATTTGATGGCAATCTGTCATCAGATACAGTGCAATTGCTAAATTTTGGAGGTTTGATTACGCTGTATACGGACAAAAGTTTGTAAAGCTGGAGGGATGTCGGGCAGTTCGGGTGATCGTTACATCCCGCAGACTGGCATATCGTGCCGAAGAATTTCTGAAGAAACAGATAAGTAGTGTACGTTTAAGATGTATAAAATACCAACTAGCAAAACTAGATCTAGATTGCGTACATATGTTGAAAGTTTGCTCATAATTCATCGAATATAAAAGTACCTTTAAATTGTCTTGGTTGACTTTTCCAGTCAATAAGTAGTCGAAGTTAAATTTCTCGATAAGATAGCGGCACATATGTAGTGTAGATTGGAGCGTGATCCGAAGCCCTCTCGATGTTGTAGTAGTGAGAAACTCATTGGGTTTGATTTCTTTTTTCACCATTGCAGTTTCCCAGTTGTTCAGCCATTGCAACGAATCCTTCAACACCTAATGCAAAATATTTGAAAGAATGTGTATAATAATTTATTACTTGCAGTTTGTATAAAAAATGACCCTATATCATAATACTATGCGTATGGAGTTCATGATATTCTTAAGATAAAAACGAATAAACTATAATTTAGTCATTATTTTACCTTGAAGTCATTACATTCCGGAGCAAGTCCTTGATTTGGCAATTTGCGATTAAGTGCGTCGAACATGTCGTTTACTTGTTTGCAAAATGCAATCGTCGCTTAGAATCCGGCAAGGGCTTTGCAGTTATGCGACAAGTAGAACGCTAGCCCTTGCGCGACAGAGTTGCTAAAGATCTAGAAGACACAAAGTATTTTTAGGAATATAAAGCAGAAACAACAAACATGTTTCTTCCTCGTCGAACTGATCACGTGTACATATACCTGGGTCGCTAATCGAACGCGCATTTTTGATGCGTTATCCATGTGTACATGTCGCTCCGTTATTTTTGGACATGCACGGGCATTTCCTGGATGGTTTGTATCGAGCTCATACAACGTCTCAAAGTATTGCCAACGAATGTAGTTCTCCGAATTAAGCTATAAAAGAGTAACATAAAATATGTGTAATAGACTAGTTATTATGTCGTTGTCAATAGTAGTATGTATCAGTTATTAGAGGGTCAGTCCACTAGTTCCTTAATTTTTACATGTTTTTTTTTTAATACGGTAAGTATAAATAAAAAATTACCCGCAGTTTCTTTTGGTTCAACAGCCGATTTCGTATGTTTTTAATCACATGCGGCGTGTCGGAGAAAACGAACACTTTTTTTTCATCGTCTAAGGGGTGAGTAAACCATGTCTTGGTGTCTTGCATTGTACCCCTAACTTTCAGAAGCGACCACATCTTCTGGTTTGTTGCAGCACCATCAGCAATAACACCGTGGATTGTCGTTCCGCACCTCTCCAGATAGATAATCCCTTTTACAACCAGCTTAGCGAGCTCTTCTCCTTTAACTGGATTTTTTGAGGCGAAAACTGCAATTGGCTGCGTGTAAGTATCGGCAAGAAATTGAAACATTACAACGAGACCATGCGTCGCCTGTTCGCTTATGTCCGAAGATCGCAGCCCATCGTCGCCCAAATCTGTCAAGCCGACATAAGTCAAATTCTTGGAACACACGGCTACAGATTTCCGTAGATTGATTTCATCGAGCAGCAGTACGCCATGTCGTTGCAGAGGTGTTTTTGTAGCAAAATCTTTTTTGAGTAATTCTGCAAACCGTTCGTCAAAGCCGCATTTCATATCAATTAATGAAAAATACCTGCGTACCGATTTTAAATATGGTAGTGGTAGAATATTGTTTTTCCGCAGAAACTGGTAATATCCCGGGGATCGGATGTTCATCAGCATACACAACATCATCCAGTCTTCTCAAGAACGTCGACCCTTGGTGCTTTTCTTGCTCGCTGCGGCTACGATTTCTTTTAGTGCCAATTGTTGAGCAGCTGGAACGTTTAATGCAAAGCATTTCTCATCTAAAGTTGCATATTAACTATTTGTTCTCTTGCATATTAACTATTTGTTCTTCGTTTTTTTAGACAGCTCATCAGGTGTTTCTCGCGTTCTTTAGCTCGATTTTGTTGACATTTTTGACGTCGGCATTTTAATCGCAGCGCTACGAGATTACGACGCTCTATGAAATTCGAAGCACCGATGTTTCTTAGAAAAATTCCATTTTTCTTACGATTTTTATTCCGTGTTATTATGCCCTGTACGCGCTTCCTCATTTTCATACAGCTATCGCATCTTCGTTTTTTGAAGAAAAGACTGCAGTCTTTGCTGCGCCACTGTCGAATGCCGTTTTGAAATACGGTATCAGCTCGAAGAAGATCGATATTAACTTCGCCGAGGCCTCTGCAAACGTTCATCTCCTTAAATTTGTTTAAGACGTTTGGAAGCGTTTCGATTCCTTCCAAAGTTTCGTCAAGATTTGCTTTTTGTGAATCAACGTCTCGTCCGTAAACGTAAAACTGAAGTTTTCTATCCGAGTCGAGAATGACGCATTTTTGTGATACCGGCAAACGCTTTCCATTCTTAACTGGCGGTATCATGTAGGTAAATATAATAATTTTTCTGTTTGTAGCAGGTGCCTTGCTAACGCTCCAATATTCAGGTAATTTGCTACAAATCTTTTGATAGGTACGACCGCTTTCGTTTTTTACATCTATAACAATGAAGCGAGTACTATTGATAAAAAATCCGTATAAATTTATATTTATTTTTCAGATTTTTTAGCTGATCAAATGAATGTATATTACTAGTGAAGGTAAGTATCTCAGTATTAATTACAATTTTTTTTCAGATTTTGCAGCTTTATCCATGGGTTTTATAATTTATCTTTTTTCAAGAAATTTTTGTCTCGATTTATAAGCATAAGTGTTAAATGATTTACACTTATGAGTCATTAAAGACTCATCTCAGTAACTTACATTTCCTTGTGGTAACGGATGTATATATGTCGATTGGTTCCTCAAGTGCTACCGGGCCTGTCACCAGAGGATCAGTATCTGTAATTCCATTGGTGAAACCAATTCGGCGCCATCCACAATTGGTAACACAAAACTGCAGTTAGTAGCTGTAATATTAAAATAACTTAATGTTGTAATTACTATACATTCTATTATATTTTTTAAGTTGTAAAATAAATACTTGTTTCAGCAGAAAACTCCTTGATCGAAGAGCCAATAAGCTGAACCGAATCGTTCATGAAGCCAGCGGACTCGCCAGAAATGCTCCATTGCCTTGTAGCACTTGAAGACGTGGCAGATTCCATTGATGGATCTATCGAATCGTGTGCGATTTAGACGGACTCCTCAACTGACGACTTTCTAACAAAGTTAACATCATCAATCGTAACTTTATTTGGAGCTAAATGACCGAAATATTCAGTCGATGGGACAGCGCAATCCTTTGCTGTCGAAAGGTCATCAAACTTTGATGGAACAGCAAACTTACTGAGCTGAGGGTACTTGTATGGTTTTTTCAATATAACTTATGTAATATGAGATCGCATCCTGTTTGCACATGTACAATTTGTTCAATATAAACTTACCTGAGCGATAATCCGACCATTCGAGTCTCGTTTGATCCATTTACGGATTATATCTTCCTCTTTAAAATGTTTGTCGCAAACTACGTGTGTCGGCTTTAGTGTAACAATGCCCGGAATAGCTGTTACTCATTGTTTGTACCGATTGGCGTCTTTTGGTACGCGAAACACTGAGCGTTTCAAAGTCTCACAGTACACAAACTTACAATTCGGCACGACCCCTTACAGAAAAGTATTACTGACTAAATACTTAAAATCTCAGTGATTTAATACTGTCAATATTTATTTGGGAAATACTGGGAAAATACTGGTAGTGATAAATATTATAGGTAGTGATTAATACTACACAGAACTACTGGTGCTTAGTATTGAATTACTCACCGATATTTCGATTTCCGATATTTACCCGGCATAAAAAAAAATTATTTTTTTTCGAAATTTTATTACTATTTTATAACTAAATTTGTTTTCTTAAAATGCAGTCTATAATTATAAATATTTTCTCGTATTTGAAAAACACACTTACCTTGGTGGGATCGAACTCGGGACCTCTGGATCGTGAGCCAACTGCCTTACGTGGTAGACTACTTCTTAATTTGATGTAAGTGTTATATATAGTCTACATGTGTCATAACCAGCGCAAATATATAATTTTTCAAAAATCATCTTAAGAAACAAATTCAGTTTAAAAAGAGTAATAAAATTTTGAATTGGATATTAAAATGATATCCTCAGTATTATTTCAAAACTTGTACACTTTTATCACGACGAATTAATACAGACCTTCATATAAAATGTATTTGTGCCTTACTTTTATCTCTTTTCCTTAATATTATCAGGAATTACCCATTATAATGTTTCTATACAAATTGTAGTACTGATCAGTGATTAATTTCACATGGAATATTCAGTTCAGTACTTGAGTATTAATATTAAAATACTAGCCAGTGATTTATTACACATGGAATCCTTGGTTCAGTACTTCAGTACTAACATTGAAATACTCATCAGTAATTCAACACAAGTATTTATTACACAAGTATTTTTCACCTAGTATTAAATGCTTTCTCATCAGAAAAATACTAAGTATTCAATACTCGTCCTGTATTAAATACTACTTTCATAAATTACTGACCAGTAATAAAATACTATGCAGTATTTGGATGACAGTGATTCAAGTACTAATAAATACTTAATTTTAGTATTATTAATACACAAAATAAGTATTTATTACTAACCAACTAGTAATACTTTTTTGTAAGAGACGAACGACTTAGGCATTTTCACATACCACGTACTTTAATATACTGTAGGATACGTTCTCAAAAATGTTTCTGGACGAAACACGTCTGAACACGTTCACGTTTCGATGAGACTCGGTCACTTTTTCACTCTTTCTATATCTTCGATAGCAAGCTACGCTACGTTATGTGGTTATGTACAATTATATAAGACAGACAGAGAGCGACTATATTTCTATCTCTGTTTACTACCCTACCGCAGCGACTCTCGCGGCCAAGAGACAAACAATTTTTGGCGACTATCTGCGACCTACCCCCACCATAGCAGTGTCCAGACCTGTATGTAAGACCGTGGTTTTAGCCGTCGCTCGTTATTCGTTAAAAAGTTATTAACAAAAAAAATTTGGAAAATACATAGGTTAAATGACGCGCTTTACAAGTATTTAACTGTTTAAAGCGCGTCACTAATTTACATAGGTTAGATGACGCGCTTTAACAGTATTTAATTGTTTAAAGCGCGTCAACTAACCCATGCGTAAACCATTTCGGGGCTACCGCACATCCCCCGAAAGCAGGGGAGGGGTGTGGGTGAACCTCGGTTCGCGTGAAAAGTGTATGCGTGAACTATTTTGGGGCTACCGCACCTCCCCCGAAAGCAGGGGGGTGTGGGTGAACCTCGGTTCGCGTGGAAAGTGTATGCCTGAACTTTTCATGCGTGGAAAGTTAATATGCGAGATGCCACATGGGTTAGATGACGCGCTTTAAAAGTATTCAACTGTTTAAAGCGCGTCATTTAACCCATGTAAGTATTCTCTGCTTTAACAAAAAGACTTCAATTTATCAACAATTTACTGCTTTAAATGTTGTGTTTTGGTAAAACAGCGACTTTCTCGCGAAATAAAGTATTCTCTGCTTTAAAGAAAAACGTAATATTAGTCGTTTATGCCTCTCAATACTTAAAATAACTGCTATATTTTCAAAACTTTTTTTGTTTATAACTTTTTAATTAAAAGCGACCCCCGATTAAAACCTTCTGAAGGTCACTCAGGAGGGTGACCTTGACAACATATGTGAAGGTCAAGGCCATCGGAGGTGGTTCCCCTAAACGGGATGTTTACCCTTTCAGCTCCCTGTCGACCAGGTGGTTCAAGATGAAGATGTGATCCATTACACCTCTTCACTTCCGGAAGCCAGCTTGGGTCTCCAGAAGAATCTGCTTCTCCACCACATCCTTCATCAATCTCTCTGCCAGCACCACCGCATAGATCTTATAGGCCGTACTTAGTAGGGTAATTCTTCTGTAATTAGCGGGGGATTGTTTATCCCCCTTTTTATACAGCGGGGAGATTACTCCCTCCTTCCACGAATCCGGCCAACCTTCACCTCTTCACACCCCCTTGATCACCTCCTTCAGCCTTTCTCTCACCTGTTCCCTGCAGAACTTCCAAGCCTCACTCGTTATACTATTCTGCCCCGCCGCTTTCCCCCTTCTCAATCTTTTTATCTGTTTTTCGATTTTTTCGTCCGTGAGGTCCTCCTCGTCGTCACCCTCTCTCCTTTTCCCCCCTAAAATCCTTTCATCTGTCCCCTCTAACATACCCATAAAATGCTGCCTCCAACCCTCCATGGAAATCTCTTTACTCACCTTGTCCCTGACCTTCTTTTCCTTGTTGATATATTTCCACTGTCTCCGTCCTAATTCCATTCAACTCCTCTATTTCCCTTTTACTCCACTCTTCTCTCTTCTTCTCACAGAGCTCCGCTAACTCCCTTTTCACCTGCAACGCCGCTTCCTTGCTTTCCCCTATCCTCCATCTCTTTAGCTTTCTTTCTGCCTTTCTATTCTTTCTGGTGCACTCTTTGTCCCACCATTTCTTGTAACCTAGCTTTCTTTTTCTCCATCTGACCTTCTTCTCTACTACCGCCTTACTCACCTTACCTCTTAGTTCCTCTCATTTCTCCAGCAAACCCCCTTCAGACAGACTAATCTCCTCCGTTCTTCCAGCAAAAATTCTTGTGCTCTCCTCGTCCCAGCACTGTATTATTCTCTCTGCCTGTTCCTTTCCTCCTTTCTCCCCTCCCCCTTCAGGCCTTTTTTCGACGTCCATATACTCACCGAAGGCATATGGTCTAATTCTATTCTACTTTTGACCTCAAATTCTTCTAGCAAGTCCTACC